CCGACTATTAGTGGACGGAGACGCGGCTGCTCCGTCTCTCTCGCACCCTCGGCGGGGCAGGCCCTGAGTGCGAGAGAGACGGAGAGAAGAGAAGACGTCCGGAATCAGTCCGCTGAGCGCGCCATACACCTGCCGAGCGCCCGTTTCACGAACGCTAACGCAATTCCCTGATACGCACCGTGCTCGCGGCGTTGAAAAGAAGAGGGATGTGCAAAGCGCAGACGCAGCCTCCGAGCGAGACGCGTTAGCAGAGTCGGAAAAAAATTTCCCAGCACTGCTTCGAACTTGGCGAAGAATTTCCGCCTGTTCAAAAAAGGTTTCCCCATCGTGATGCGAACCAAATTATTGCAGGTAGCACTCTTTTTCGCTTTTGGATCGCTTGTTAGACAGTTTTTACTTCGCCTACTGGCATAGCGTTGTCAAAAAAACTTACTCGAGAAATGTGGGACCTGGATACGTTCATGGGGACCCCCACGGCCGTTTAACTGGGATGTCACGTTCGCTTGAGTGTGGATCAACATTCAAACGGATGTGACATCGTACTCAAAAGAACGCGACAAAATTTGCATTCTGACAAACGTGACGTCACATTCGCTGAGTGGGCCTAGCTAGCAGTGCAGCGGACGTGGCGGACTGTCATGGTTTGGTCCTCTCATCCCGGTAGGCCGAGCCTGCCTCGCCAGACACACTGCCAAATGGGAAGGGGTGAAGTGGGGGAAGCCCGTGCCAGCACACGGTGGGAGAAAAGGGGACAGTCGCCCTCAATTTTCATTATCCCCGGTCACTCACCAGGAAAATGGGCTCGTCAACAACGAGTAAACAGGCTGCATCCCATCCCCGTTGTCGTGGCCGCGCGGCTCGCACCGCAACATTCCTGTTTTTGCACAATTATTCGCGATGTTTGTTTCGGGGGTATCCGAACGGAACGGCTCCACCCATTGTTTCAGCAGGTGGGTCGGTGAGCAAACATTTACCTACAGCGCGCGGGGCGGGGCGGGGCGGGGCGACGTGTCTTCTTCTCTTTTTATCATATCCCTATAAATTTTATGTGGAAACAGGACGGGGGCCGGCACAAAAATCACAGCGCCAGAACTGTTCCTGTTCTTCTTTTTTCGCTGTCGCCGGAACACGACTCGGGCGCCGCCCCCCTCCCCCCTGCACCCAGCGAGTGGCGCGAACAGTGCACGCACGCGTCACGGCGGGGGAGGGGGGGGGGACAGGCGGGGCGTGTCCCGGGAAGGGCGGAAGGGCGCGGCATCTTCAACAAGTCCGCCAACAACTACTTCGCTGGTCAAAAATGCATGCGCCAAACTGGGACCGACTCACTCGGAAGTTTGCCGCACGCCTCTACTAGTGCTTGCCGCCGCCGCCACCCCGCCCCGCACGGCCGCATTGTCGAAGGCATTGCTTGTCCTCCTACACTATGCCGGGGCTTCCCAAGTACTACCTGCCGCGACAGCGGCGCGGCACTTGAAGCACATCGCTCGAGGCCCTCCGTGCAGAATGTGGGAAAAAATACCACACACACATGTTTGCCAACACTGTCTCTCTGTCAGTCTGTCCGTTTGTCTGTTTCTCAGTCTGTCTGTCTGTCTGTCTGTCTGACTGTCCTGTCTGTCTGTCTCTCCGTCTATCTGTCTATCTCTCTCTCTCTCTCTCACTCGAAAAAAAAGACACATACACACCTTCACACCTACGCGCGCACACACACACTAACACACACACTAACACACACACTAACACACACACTAACACACACACAAACACACACACACCTGCACACACACACCTGAACACACACACACACCTGTGCACACACACACACACACACACATTTGTTGATTGTCTGGCCGCGTCTTCCAGGCTGTCATTTCAAAAGACAGCAGCGACTCGGCGGGCGGTTCGCGGCGATGCGCCAGTGCGGACATGACGCCAGCAAGGCGCGTCTGAAAAATGAGGGACGGGACAGAGATAGAGAGACGGGGATCGAGACACGGCGTGCCTCGGCGTGCCTTTCAAGGTACGCATTGTCTCGGCATTGTCGGCATTGTCTGGCGAGGCGAGCGCTGCTGTGGAGCGCTGCGGAGCGCTGCGGAGCCACGCCACCCGGTCAGAGAATCGCACGGCGCCGCGGGCCGTGGGCCGGCGGGGCGCAGAGCCTCGCGCAGAGCGCACTGCAGGACCGAGAGTCCTTTCCGTCGCTCTGTCCCTCTCGCACTCGTGGGGCGTCTCGCGTGCGCGCGAGAAAGGTAGGGCGGCGACTCTCGGAATCAGTCTGCTGCCGTGACCAGCGGAAGTCATCAGCAAGATGGACCCGAGGGTGTGCACCCACCTCGCTCAGCCCCGCCCCGCCCCGCCCCATGGAAACGAAAGAACTGGCTGCCCCCTTAACAAAGATTTTAGGGAACAACGCACGACACTTTTTCACGGCAACGTTTGTGTTGGTATTATGAGTGCTTGCTGTCGGGGAGGCGGTGGGGTGGGGGTAGAACGGGTAGAAGGGGTATGGTCGGTAGGAGGGGGGTAGGAGGCGGGGTTTTCCCCAGCGGACTGCACAGACTGTTGACTCTGCAGCTAACTGGAAGCTCTCCCTTCCTTTCTTCGCCATCACGACCGCCAGCCCGCTGCCGTAGGGCCGCCGTGGGGCCGCCGAGGCCTTCCTCGACACCGGAACGGGGCCGGCACCGCATCGGCAGAAATTATCATATCAAGCCTGGCGCGGAGTGGCGCCGACTCGGCTGGCTGTTATTTCGAGGAGTCGATTCCAACCTCTGAAAGCGGCAGGACACTCTCGAGGCGGCCTACTCCACACCGTGCCGAGCAGCAACGAAGAAAAAGGAGGAAGGAAAAAGCTCGGCAGCTGGAGCCAATTTATACTGGGATCTGCGTGCACCGAGCAGACTGGTCGACATGCGGCGTCCGTCACACCCACGAGGCGTTTCGTGCGGGTAAGGAGACAGGGCGGTCTGGCTCTAGCCTGGGTCTAACAGTGTGTGGCCCCCGCCGCCCAGCAGCACCAGCCGCGGCGTGATATCAGGCTAATGACAAAGATAGCGGGCCACCTGCAGAGATCCTGCAGAGAGAGGGAGAGAAAACGAGAGAGAGAGAGACAGAGAGAGAGAGAGAGAGAGAGAGAGAAGGACGAGGGGGAAGGGGGGAACCTGCATGGACACGAAGACGAGGCCGCAGCCAGGCGACACGTCGCGGAGAAAGAAGTCCTTTTGACTTGACTTGTAAGCTGGCAGCTGCCGCGGGCCCGGGGGGAGGAAAAGAGAGAGAGGGGAGAGAGAGAAAAGAAAAGAGAGAGAGAGGCGCCACCCAGCCCGATACCCGCTCTGCAAGCGCTGCTGCTTTCCATATTTCGCCACAATTCACGCTGCATTTCTTCCATCTCCTTCGTCTTCTACTCTCTCTCTCTCTTCCTCTCTCCGCCACACAAAGAGCTCGTCAGCCCGGTGGCTACGGCAGCAGCAGCGCTTGGCCGGACCGTGATGGAAAAAGCACGGGCAGTGGGGCACTGTCCCGCTGCCCATAAATTGTAGCTGTTATTGCTTTTCAAAGTTGATTGCTTCCTAATCGGGGACGCCAAAGTCTGGACCCGCCTCTTTGCCCCCGCCCTACCTCCATCCCGGTCAACCACCCCTGACCCCGTCCAGCTCCTTCCGGTGTGTGTGTGAATGTGTGTGTCCGCGCACGTGAGTGAGTGAGTGTGTGTATGTGTGTGTATGTGTGCGCGCGCGCATGCATGTGCATGTGTGAGCGGCACTCTCTCTTCACGGCTAAAACAGAACCTGGTTTTCCCAGGACCTCCCTGGAAATCGCCTAGTCTCTACCATAGGCTTCCTGGGAAAACCAGGTACCGTTTTCACCGTGTTAGTTTCAAGAAACAAAAAAGAAACTTAAATTCTTAGTCTTATCCTTGTAATATTTAATTTTTTGAGGATTAGTCACCTGTTGGTCAATTTGCATGCTTATTTCACCTCTACTCAAAATATCGAGTAGATCGAACGCACAAACGCCTTACGTCTGAGTGTCATGCCATGGGGGAGTGGAACCTCAGCGGTAGCAGTTCCTGAGAGGCAGCTCCTGACAAAAGTGACCCTTTGCATGGTCGGCCTGGGATTTTGCAGGCACTGTTGCCGCGATGACGGGGCAGCAGCGACACGGACATCGGCGGCCCCTGCGCCGTCTAGGCAACCCCATGGCGGCCGGCTAATAGCGTGGGGAAGCAAAATTGTGATCGTTCTCTCTGGATCTCAAGAACCTGCCCCTTTCGGATATTTTTCTTTTCGGTAATCTCTTGGTTCGAACTTTGTGAGTCAGTCCGCCCCAACTCAGGCAGCAGACTCCTGGGCCCGCCGCACACACTGACGGGAACGGGGCATTACTAATTCTTTCCAATCAGGCACCTCCACAGCCCGACAGTTCCCCATCCCTTGTTCCCGCAGTCTTGCCTGCACTTTCTGTCAGAGTACAGTAGCAGAGCCCCCTCCCTTTTTTCAAACAACAATAGAAATAAAAATATGTAATAAAACCAGAAAGGCGTTGTCTTTCATTATTTGTGTCCGCAGCACTTACTGCTTAACCCAAGAAAAAGTATTCTTTGACACCGAGACTACTTCCAAGCACCCACCTCAGGTGGTTTTGACACACTTTTTTTTCGTGCGTTGCGAGTGAGCTCACAACGACCTTAGTTTCAATCGTGGCAGACGCGGGTGACATGTTACACTGGTAAGACTCAGGCGTCCCTAACGCCTGTGCAAGCGCTCCGACGCCCCTGCAGGCCCGCTTGCCTCGTTGGGCACAAGACAATTATCACCCCCTGATCTCCTTCATAAATGCATGAGAGTTTCCCAGCGCTTCTCCAACAGCGCGAACATCATACGCTGGAAGTCGAGCGCCGCGTTCCGCGTTTTAACGGCGTCAGCCAGCTGTGCCAAGGACGAAGCACGAATCAGACCTCGCACCAACAAGACCCCTCAACTGGGGCGGCGACATACCTGCTTGCAGAGAAGGAATTCGGGGCCAGCGTGTCCCTGGCTCGTCCGCCCGTCACCGGGACCGGCACCTGGCCGTCAGCACCCGACCACCGGCACCGGTTCCTCGCCGTCAACACCTGGCCGTCAACACCTGGCTGTCAAGACTTAGCCGTCAACACCTGGCTGTCAACACCCGGCCGTCAAGACTTGGCCGTCAACACCTGGCCGTCAACACCTGGCCGTCAACACCTGGCCGTCAACACCTGGCCGTCAACACCTGGCCGTCAACACCTGGCCGTCAACACCTGGCCGTCAACACCCGGCCGGCAACACCTGGCCGTCAGCACCACGCCGTCGCACTAGCCCCCGTCGCGAGGTGCTCGTAGACGAGAACGCGTCGTCGCGAGTCAGACTGGCGGTACGCGGCGACCCCCGTGCACCCCTCGCGGCGGCCGGCCACTGACTGGAGCGGAGTGCTGGGGCGGCGGCGGCAGCGCGGAGCCGGGGCGCGCCACGCCGCCCCCTCCAGCGAGGGATGCGCGCGCGCGCCACCGCCACCGTGCCGCGCCCTCGTTGACAAGAACACCGTCACGGTGGCGGTAGATGAGCGTTACGACCCTCCATTTTGTTGGCGGTGCTGCGACGCGTCAGTCCAATCACGTGCTGAACTTGCAGCAGCACGAGGCAGTTGCATTGCCTGCACACTGTAAGCCCAAAAGCAGCGAGAAAGTGACGCGGTGCTCACGGCGAGCGGCTTTGCATCGAGGCATTTGCCCTTCCAGCGTCCAGTCCGCTGGTTTCCGGACTAGAGTAAGTACTCTTCTGTTAAGATTGCTCGGACATGTTCGGCAAGCCGGAGCACATTAATGTTTTGGAACAAAGTTCGTCCCCGAGATGTTACAGTTTTACGTACGGTTGCGAACAAATTTCTCCACGATAGAGAAACAAAACCATACCCCCAAAAAATGGTTTCTTGGATAAAAAATAACTTTTCTTGTATTTTTATTTAAGAAAATTTTTCTACATTGGAACCTTTTTTTTCTTGTATGCAGAAAACTTCTCTTGTGTTAAGGTTTCTTTTTTCTTATAAAAACCATGAAAATTAAAAATCAAGAAACCATTTTTCGGGGGGGTGCATGGACAACGTAAAGTAGGAGCGCGCGGAGACTAGAAGTGCTGGCCTTGCCGGAAGCCTCGTCCCCGGACTCCTCCCCGGCCGCCGCAGTCGCCGCCCGCGGAGCTGGCCTAGGCTACCCGAGCGCACCTCGGGCCAGCGGGTTGCCTATAGCCGTGCGGTCGGGCGCTCAGGCCGTGGCGTGGAGCGTGCCGCTGACAGGGGCCACACTGTGAAACCCAAGTGTGGGCAGCTGCACACACTTGAAACGCGGAGGTGTGGAATCTGCAATCTCCGCACTTCGAAGTGCAGAGTTTTGCAGTCACCACACTTCAAACGACGTGGAGCTCTCCACTTTTGCTCCGGGCCAAGACTTGGGCTCCGTGGAGACTGGAAACTCCACAGGTCCAAGAAGTGTAGGGAATCACACTCCACACTAGGGAAGTGTAGGGTTCTCCACAGTACGATAGAGCAGGCAAATGAGGTGAGCTTTCCAGACTGCCTTGCCGAAAGGAGGAACAGTGCAGATGTTGGGCAAAGCGGCCAATTTTTTGTATTCCAAGAGCGCTTTTCACAGTGGCAAAACCGTGCGCTCTTGAAGAAAAAATATTGACCTAACGCTGCAACGAGATCTCCCTGTTGCAGTCCGGAAAGTTTCCTGGAACAGCCAAAAAAAGTCCCTTTGTCCTCGTTTGCCACCTGTTTGACCGTCCATTCGAGGAATCCCACGGCCGGCCTCCCTGCCAGAGGCAAGCTCGACACAGAGTGCGAGGGCGTAGTCGCACGTCACCCCCGGTGAGCCGTCCGCCAGTCCGCCGCCGCAGAGCCCTGCCCGCGGCCCTGCCGGCCCTGTCAGGTGTCGATTCATAAACCCGACCCCTCCCTTCCCCCTCCCCCGCCCCCTTTCCAATCGCATTCTTCGCTGGACTTCATTAAAGGGCAAGCCCCGCTGGACGCACGGGACGGGGGAGGGGAGCCGAAGGGGAGGGGGCAGAAATGACGGCCCAGCACAATGTCGTGTGTGGTCGCGATCAGTAGTGCCTTGTCCCTCCACCGGGGTTACCTCTTCACCATCGCCCCGCCCCCTCCCCCCCCCCTACCGCATTCCAGAGTCGATGGCGGCGAGTCACTCAGGTCAGCGGGTCCCGGCGGGTCCCCTGAGGACCTCCACCGGCCCCTGCTTGCCCCCTCCCCTTCATCGACGAGTCTTCTGTGTTGTGTTACTCGTGCGTGAGGACGGTCTTTGACTTGGTGCTCCGTCCGGCCGAGCGAGCGTTGTGGCGAGGCCTTCTCGAGCAGACTGAGAATCGGTTTTCGTCGCGCTTTCTTTCTGTGCGGGACGCCCTGCGAGTGCGAGAGAGACAGAGCGACGAAAGCGGCCTTCGGAGCCGGCCTGGGTTATGGTTATGTTGCCAAACGCCGCGTATGCACAAGGTTAGCCTTGGTTGAGGGCGACGCAGCCATCGGCCGAATCGCTTGCTCGGCACTGTCTCTCTCTCTCTCTCTCTCTCTCTCTCTCTCTTGCCCCGCGGGAGCGACAGAGACACGAAAGCAGATGACACGGGCAGGCTTGGCCATCACCGCGCCCTCGACGCGCCGCACGGTGAGTCGCAAGGTCACGCGCCACCCTAACCTGTTACTCTGTTCCTGGCACGCGCAACGAACCCGCACTGCAAAGTGCTATTCGAGCAATCAAATTGTGGCTTCGTGACACTAGAAAGCTGTCTGAAAAGGACATAGATATCCTAATTATCCCAATTTGAGTGCCCCCTGACAGTCAAATGAGTGTACCGACGCTCCGGAGAGTGCACTCGCGGAGTCCACGTCAAGGAGAGAGTACCCCGTTGGGTTTGCTGGGTGGAATCCAAAAGGAGACAGTCCGGAATGAAATGAAAACGGGGTTCCCTGCGCCACGCTGCGCGCCCTGCGGAGGGCACTTCCAAAATAAGAGGACACTCTAAACTCACCGCGCGTCGCGTGGCACGTCCCGTCCCGGTGAAGGCAGAGCGGGGCGAGGCGGCCGAGGCGAGGGCGGAGGGCTCCGCCGGCTTCGCGAGGCGAGACTTTCGAGTCGGGCGGTTGGCCCGGCCCGGCCCGGCCCGGCCCTCGCCTCGGTGCGGCCTTGGCATCGCGCGGCGCGCCCGGCCCAGCAGGGAGGCCGTCGTCGCCGCCCCGCGGCACCAGGCTCCTCATCCTCCTCTCTCGCTCCGCCAGCGGGCCGCGGGGGCGACAGAGTTAACGAGTCCCACTTCACGTCGCCTCGCCCTGTGATTAGCCAGACAGCCCGGCCGCCGCCGCGCCGAGGCCGACAGGCCGGCAGGCACAGCCAGGCCAGGCCGGGGCCATTACCTTACACGATACACGTCGATTTGTTACCCACGCCACTGTCGAGCCGCTCTCACGGGGGCAGGCGGAAGGGGGGCAGGGGAGTAGGTTTCGCGACGTCGTGCCATCAATACCCGAACACGCCCTAATGGGTCGGTGCGGCGCTCAGTCTTGGCCAGGCCGCCCCGCCCCGCCCCGCCACGCCCCGCCCCGCCCCCGCTGTCGATACGGCACTCCTCGCACAACAACTCAGCTGCGCGGGCCGCACGACCACGCACGGCCGCCAGCCACGCGACGCACGCTTTAAACACACGCGGCCTCGGCGCATATTTCCATTATTTGCGTCATATTTTCTCAGCAACCCCCTCCCCTCTTTCCCCCTGGGGGGCTGCACCAAATGACCATGCGTGACATGAGTGGTGTGGCAGCTGCGACCGTGGATCATGGGGACATTGGGACTGCGCGGGGCGGCGCGGGGCGGCGCGGGGCGGGTGAGGATCAGCTGCAAGGTGACACGTGTGGGGGCGCTCTCCATAAATAACGATTACGGCATGAGCCATCGCGAGGGCCAAAAGTGCTTCCGGATGCTTCGCGGATGCTTCCGGCTTTTTTCTGGCCCAGCTGGAGGCCGTTGCGTCGGCGTCGCCGCGGGCCGTCCGCCGTTAAGGCGACGGTGTTGCCCAAAACGCCGCCCGGAGCAGCGGCCGCCGGAGTCCGGCCGTACTGATTCCGAGAGTCGTTTTCGTCGCTCTCTCTCTCTCTCTCTCTCTCTCTCTCTCTCTCTCTCTCTCTCTCTCTCTCTCTCTCTCTCTCTCTCTCTCTCTCTCTCTCTCTCTCGCCGAAACGGGACGCGACGCCCCATGAGTGCAAGAGAGACAGGGCGACGCGACAACCGCCCCATCCCGTTGGTGCCGCTGGGGCTCCGCTTCGGTCCGCCCGCCTCGCCCTAACTCAAACTGCGGGACGGAGTGGCGCCTGAGCAGGGGAAGGGGGACGGGGGCACCCTCAGCAGAGACAGGCCCGCGCCATGCAGACAATTACACACTGGAAATCGGACACACGGCACGTTGGGTTCGAGTCCTGTTTAGCGACTCTGCAGCTCGAAACGCGCCCAAGAGTTTCGGCCGCCGACGCCGGTCTTCTGGCCCACTGTGCGGAGCAGCGCGACGGTGCCACTTGCATCGACAGTGTGGCAGCGCTTTATAGCGGAGTCCAATCAGGGGCCGGCGGGGCGGCGCCGTCGATGCCAAACAGTTTGCTTTCCGTCTCTCTCGCACCACCGGCGCGTCCGGTCTGAGAGTGCAAGAGAGAAGAACCGGCCTCGCTCGAGCCAAGTTGGACGGCTTTTTGCTGACAGCCGGGCGGCGCACTAGCGACGCCGTCCCGGTCGCCGTCGCGCCACTGTTTGCCGGAAGTTGGTTGCAAAGAGGGCCAGCCGGGCCCGGCCGGCGGGGAGGCTGGACGGACGTTAGCGCACATCATCAACTTCTTAATAGAACACAAACGGCCTCCCTCACCCCTTGGGCACAGTATTCGCGCGCTTTCAATTAGCCCCATAAAATCCGCTTTATTTTCCTCGGGAGCGACACGAGATCATAAAGACGCACATTTGCGCGTGCAGCAGCAGCGGCAGCAGCGCGAGGGTCGGTGGAGGCAGCAGCGGCCGGCGAGGCGTTGCCGCTGCACTGTTATTCGACGAATGTGACGTCATACTCGGTGCAATGTGAACCTCAACATGTTCTTTTCAATTTCATGTCGCATTCGTTTGATTAGGAGGGTCTCGTACATTTGATAGGAATGTCATTTGTTTGGTCACATTCGTTTCATCAGGATGTCACACTCGTTTTGATTAGGAGAGGGTATGTCACTCGTTAGAAAAGGATGTCACATTCGTTTGGTTAAGATATGTCACTCTCGTTCGAAGTATGGATCACTCAAACCTAACGTGACAATACATACAAACGAAAGTGACATCGATCGTGTTCAAAGAAACGTGACAAAATCAACAT